GAATGGGTCAATGATCAGATGTACCTGCACATAAGCACTCCTGGAAGAAAAAATTAGCAGCTGTGCTGGCTAGAAATTAAATTTTATTTTTAATAGATGAGTATGAAGGCGTATACACTAAGGTACTTTATACACTAAGGTACTCATCTAGCCAGGGAACAGGAGCTGTACTGGGAATGTGCACAGCTGATCTTATTTCACCAGTGAGCCTACAGAAGAAACACCGCCAGGGATTATTTGATCATCAATCAATAAGGTCATCCGTGGAAAAAAAAAAAAAGGTTGCGTAGATATTCATCATGTACTTCCAAATAAATACATTAAAGGAAATTGCAGTCTGCCTGCTGAGATTCATGGAGCTGGGAACAGCTTGCATCTGTGACGTACATTTAATTATTACGATTTACTGTGGGGGGGGGAAAAAAAACCCAAAAAACCAAAACCACCAAACAAAACCACAAAATAAAGAAAGAAACCCCCTACAGCACATACCACAACTGTTTATACAGACTCACAAAGCTGTCAGCATGAGCAGCACACACCACTGAAGCCAACAGGTCTATGTCTACTGCCACCAGCAGAAGGCCTGCTCCAAGGTCTGTAGGGAATTTGAAACCAGTTTTTCGGGGTCTGGCCTATTCCTGGCCATTAATAAAAGCTTAAGTCATCCAGATGTCATCACCTCAAGCCACACAGCAGTTCCATCTCAGATGAGGGGCTGTTACCACCACCACTGCGGATGGTGCAAGTATGGAGACATCTCCTCCATCATCTCCTCGGCTTCCACAGGCACCTCCTTCATGAGACATCCTCACCACCCTTCACTTACCCTGGCCTGCTGCAGGATGGCTTGGGCTTGGGCCTCCTGGGCTGAAACGAGAGGTCCTTTGGAGCCAGCATCTCCTCCTCCACCAAAGCGGAACTGATGGGAGCAAGATGGAGAAAGCAGGTCACAGGGTTGCTGTCCCTCCACCCTCACACCAGCCTCCTAAAGAGCTCTGTTCAGCTTGACTGAACCAACCCCATCCCTGTCCTTCCAGACCACCCTGGTAACCACAGGGCTCTCGGGTCACCCAGCTCATGGGCACAAACCATTTCCCATGTCCACACCCGCACAGCAAATTCTGCCAAAGCAGCGCACGATAAGAGGGACTGTAGGCTCTGAACTGTAAGGACCTCGCACACCGCTGTTTAAAACTAAACGCAAAGTTCTCCCAGGGCTGATATTCCCCGTGAGGGTGCTGTTGGCCACAAGACCCCCGGAGACGGTGTCGTACCCCCAGGTCACTCGGCCATAGCTGCCTGCTTGCCCCAGGAGAAGAGATGCATTTCCCAAGTGTGGCAGGGTGCTTCAAGGAACAGACTTCAGCCTCTTGTTCAAGCCAGGGTCCTTCAGCACACAAAGGATTTTTAAAAACCCCAAGCACTGATGTTTTATTTTCCCAAACTTGAGCAGGAAGGTGTTTAATGTTTTCTTCCACCTCTTTTCCCAACAGCTACAAGGCCACTTCCCAGGACACACACCCCTCTCCTGACTTATTGTGTGTGTCTTTGGGGTTTTGCAAGAAGGACTCTCTGGGCTGCAGAACATTCTTGGACGGCTCGTTCACCTCTGTTTCACCTCTGCATTTTGCTCGGTTGGCGCTAGGTATATGACCACACGAACTTGGCAAGCGGATTCAAAGAGATGCAATTTATAGACCTACGGTTGGTTACCGTAGGGGCCAACAAACGTATTGTAATGGCCAGCTGAGCTCTGTGTTGAGCAGTTGGCCCAGGATGTCCCAGGCACCCTGCCAGTAACCTGCACACGTGTCACCCTACCATTTGGAGCCCGTACACGAGCGCTGCGGTCTTGCACTAAACGGTACCTAACCGCTTATTTTCAGCAGCTGGTTTCCTCAGAGTGTTCTCACATCAAAGCAGACACAAAATATAACCATTCCTTTAGCATCCCAGGACAAAGAAGGCTGTCTCGGTACTTGCTAGCTTCATCTAGGGGAAAAAACAATGCACCGTAACCACTGGTCAAGAGACTGGTTATTTCAGGTGCTTACAATTTTGGCACCTGCTTTGAAGAGCTGTTAGAGGTTCCTCACTGTAGGAGGAAGGGTTCTTCCCCTAAATTGGGCCCTTGGAGGTGTCTTAAGTTGCTTCTTCATCCCTCCAACATGATGCCCAAACTGAAGCACTTGAGCTTATTCATTACTTCTGGAAATTTTAACCTACTCGCCCTGTGCTTTCGACCAGTGAAGAAGTACCAGTGCTCTACAAAAGATCAATTTACAAGGAGGATCATCTGGATCTATCTTTTATACACAGAAAAACGTATCCTTGGTGTAAAAGAGATGCGGGACTTTCACAAGGACAAGCAGCAGCAAAGCCAAGAAGCTCAACTCATTTAAATGCTTTTTTAGTTACACTTGTACTTACAGGCAACATAAGCATTGTCCCTGGTGGTCCTGGTAAACCATCTGCTCCTGGAAGGCCTGGACGGCCAGGTGGTCCCTAAGGGAGAAGAAATGAGAAGAAATAAACTTCTATAGCATCATTTAAATCATGTCCATATGTAAATAATTGTGGTGGTAAAAGCATATCATGATACAAAAAGCTCCCTGTCTCGACAGACAGGCATTGACCACGTAGGCATCCCAATGCTATCACAAATTTAGTGGAAGCACATCTGTAAGCACACAGGATTTTTCTCAGTAATTCCCTCTTCTTACATCCTGGCGCCCATGTTTCCAGAGTCTGCCATATGCAACTTTTGAGTGAGCAGTAAAAGTCTCTGCAGTGTTCCAGCTCAATGGAATCAATGTTTCATTGGGTCTGTTAAAACCTATTAAAAAAGTATAGAGGACTTCATAACTCAGGTCAGTGAAACAGAAACGTGGAAAGAGAAATACATTTCTGTACATGTTCGGTCATCTGGGTCATTTCATTTTTCTCTCTTCTATCATTTTTTTTTTTGTCCTATGAGGCTACTTCCATCTCCAATGGAGTGATCCTGTCAGCGGCTGTAAATCAGCAAAACTCTGAGGATCTCAATGGAACTGTGCTGGTTAACATCAGTTGAATATGTTTAACTTGTACTAAAGAAACGAGTACGCAGTAAAAGATCTATCGATGAAGCTATAAATAATCAAATACAGCCAATTTTCCTAGGACAGCCCATAGGAACTCCCAGTTGTGTACTTGGCAAAAGGTTTAAAGCAACCCAAATGTTCACATCCATCCAGCAATCCTACATGCAAATGGGGATGACATCCAACTGCTCCACGCGCATGTATAATTGCAATTTTCACAGCAGCTTAAGGAGCTGAAAGGAAAAGTGGATTGATCACATCCCAGGGAAGCCAAGAGGAGCCCTGGTGCTCATCTCACAGCAGGACAGACGGGACTGCCTGGGCAACTGCTCAGGCTTGAGGACTTGGACACTCCCCTACTTAGTAAACACCAAGAATAAATCCATCTGTGGAGAACCAAAGCTCTTGTAAGGGCAAGCAACAAGCATCTATGGTAGTTCCACTCTCTTCAACTTGCCCGAAGCCCTCCAGACCATGCAGACACCAAACAAAAGTAAAAATAAAACCCTGCCAGCAATCACAGATGGACATGCTGCAGGGACAGAGAAGAGCCTGACTTTGCCCCAGAAAGTTGGATGCTCACCCCACAAAGGAGGTGGGTAGAGGTGGGAAAGGAAGGAGGAAAGGAGAAATAGGTCACAAAGACACTAAAAATCTGAACACATAATAAATGTTATTTGATGTGTTAATCTTTGCCTCACTGCCTTCCAGCAAGATCTTGGCACATCTCTTTGTTCCCTCTTCTTCCATCCCCTCTATGCCCTGTTCAACTTAACATTTCCCTCATCATCTCCCTCTTAAACAAGAACCCAAAACACCCAAGCCAAAGTTTCAAGCACTGAATGAGAGCCCAGCGCCAGGGTGGGGGTGAAGCTGCCGTGGCTCCACCCTGCCCCATCGCATCGCTCCGGCCAGGCTGTGCCCGGACCAGCACCACAATGACAGGGCAGAGCAACGCCGTGGCCGAGGAGCCGAGGGCTGCACCGCAACCAGCCTGGAATAACAACGCTGCTCCCAGCGCTGCACCAGACAGCACTGCAGCCACTGATTTAGCAAGAAAAAAAAAAAAAAAAGAAACCAAACCCAAAACAAAACAAGCCAGCAGCTCCCTCAGCGCCGAAGGGAGACTGCATAACACACCAGCCCATCCATTTTTCAAGACAAGCTCATGATGTTACATTCGTGCTGTTTACTTAGTCTGGCCGACACCGGAGTCCCTGACTCCGCTGATGAGGTACAGAGGACAGTCCCATCTGTTGGAGCAGAAGTACAATAAATAATTTAGGCCAGACTCATTTTATATAACAAACGTTCTTCCCTCTCTCTCTTCTTCAACCCCAGTCCTGCATAGGATGGGTCAGGAATGAGCTTGTTTATCTCTCTGTGTGTACCCTGCCTGACAAACGTTGATGCAATGTTTTTATACATAAACGCCTCTTTTTATTTCAGGTTGGGTGTGTGAGGTCTTCTCCTTGTGGGGTGGAGCAGTGGGGGGCCCGTGGCACGCAGGAAAATCAAACCCCTGAAGCGCTTTGCAAATTTAAATTCATGAATGCCTTAAAGGAACGCCGCGTGCCAGGCTCTCAGCTGGTGTAAATCTGTGTCACTCATTATGTAAATAGAGATTTGCTGATATATAGCAGCCAGGGATGGGGACTTCAGCTTTCATTTGGTGCAGTGCTCTCAAACGCCACGCTGAGTGCAAACACTAATGCAATATTTCAAGGGAATGTTTGAACCAAAACCTCGGCGTGTCAGTGCTCGGGCTCCTCGAGAAGCAAAGTGTTGCCCAGCAGCCTGCAGCATCGACCCTCAAAATTTGCTTTAAGCGTCTCTTTCTAGGATTATTTTTGTGCCATTTTCAGTCCCAGTCAGAGAATTACACAACAGAAGATCTTTTGTGCGATATTTGGGGTCTTCTAGGTGAGGCACTGCTTGCCATTTGAGGGAAAAAAGAGCTCCCTGGAAACACGGAGCCTTTCAGAACCCCAATAAGATGTTTAGGGACCTGTTACACTTCTGAGATGCAAAACTGTCCTCAGTGGGAATAAATCTATCTGGACATAACAACTGCATGGTCTTGGAAGATGTGACTATTGCTTTGTCACCAGCGTTCCCCCTGAAGCAGGATGCTCAAGCCCAGAGCACCTGGACACCCCAGATTCCCACCACACACAGCGGCCGTTTGCTCTAATGCTGCAGCTCATCTCCTCCAAAGGAGAACATTTTCCCACTTTCTTCATTCCAGCCCAGAATACCCATGCAGTAGCTCTCTGGTCTCCTAAATGCCATATTTCCTTCTTCCCACTGCTCGGAGAAATCTAAGTCATCCTAAACCGCCCTCCTCCCCGCTCAGTCCTCCGAAACCTCCCACCAACAGGCTGCTCTGCAGCTTTGCCGGTGACGCAAGCTCTTCTTCGCGTTGTAAAACAACCGGGATAAATGAACAAACTGCCATGATGAATAAAACAGAGCTAAATGAGTGTTGGCCAATATTAACATAACTGAATATTGTTGGTATATTAATTCAGTGCACCTGCCTGATTGCAAACAAAAAGTCTTTCTCTCAGATGCAGGCAGAGGAAATGTTCCTCGCTGCACACATAGAAGCGTCATGTAAATTCATGAGCTATGCGCAGGGTTAATAATAAACAAATTAAAAGAGGAGATGCTCTAATTGAAAAGGAGTCTTTTAATACAGTTGCAGTTCCTGGCTCTGCAAGTTCATCACTTCTCCATGCACAATATGCTGTATTACATTCTGTCCTGGACGCTCAGAAAAGCAGGATGTGCCGTCTGGGCTAGGAAACAAATCACTCCGTGACTGCAGGGCGTGGAGCAGCATCAGCGGGGACAGCGTGTCTGCTGCGCATCGGCTTTGCACGGCCCTTCAGGAGGAGCCTGGCCAGCAAATATCTGCATCTGCCTGGACAAATGGCAGAGAGACCACCTCGTCAGCAGGGTCAGCATCCATCCTGCCAGGCAAATGAGCTTGGAGGAAGAGGAGAAAGCTGGGCAACACGTAGGACCCGTGCAGGATGAAGCCACAGGGCTCTTTTGACTAATTCTAGACCTCTGGAAGCCACTGAACCCTGCCCAGCTTGCCCATTCTCAATGAAGCCTGACACTGAAGGATGCTGAGCCCTCCCTTGCTGCAGTAGTCCAGGAGCTGTCTCAAGGGTTAAGCCAACCTGCGCGGTGGCCCTGGCTCCCAGCCACGCAGCTGCTTATCGACTTTCTGAGCTCTCAGGCACCGATCGATGGAGCAGAGTCAGGGCCTCTCGTTCTCAATCATGTCACAACCACGAGCAACATTATTACTGTTCCATCAAAAAACAATAAATACAGCAGGAGCGTGAATGAGGTGGGGTCTTTGCTGCAGCGCTCCGGGGGATTGCGGGAGTGTAGTAGCTGGTAGACCCCAGCCAAGTCCCTGGGGACCAACAAGGCATCAAAGAGCCTTAATTAAAAAAAACCAAACCACAAACCAGCACCCAGGTTGGGACATTCACACATCGCAATAGCACAACACCCCTTATCTACCCAAACCTCCTCATTTGAACTTGGTCATTGGCTTATCCCACCTTGTCTGGGCAAAATTCAACCAAAATCTGCCAGAAGCCCTATGAACACAAAAGAGCCTGGGTCACCCCAGCTTATCCTTCCCAGGCACCCAGGAGGCAAGCAGATTTCGTTCCCCATCTGGAAACCAGCTGGGGGATCAGTGGAGGATGCTGCGATGCACGTGAGACTGCTGTGGATAGCGGGCTGCCTTATCTGCTGGAAAAGCGTGCTCAGGATGTCAGTGCTCGGATGAAGGAAACATCTGCTGATAAGCACTCCATTCCTCGGAAAGGTGCTTTGCATTCGCTGGGTGACAGCTCTGCCCCATCTCCTGTGATCCGTGTCACCGCTGCTCTCCTCCCTCCTGCGCTTTCCAGGAGCAACTCTGGGAAAAACAGACCTCCAACCAAGCCTGCCTTCAGAAACCCTCCTGTAGGCACATTTTTTGCCTTTTTTTGCCAACAGGACTGTCGGGATGCCTCAGGCTGCAACATGCCACAGGTGGAGGCTGGTGTAAGGGCTGCTGAGAGCCCCCATTCCCCAGATGAAACAGCAAGTGCACCAGAAGCTACTGTGAAAGCAGATTTGACTGCACTCAACATCAAGATGTGCCAAAGCACCGAAATGGTGTCAAGCTCCAAGCTCTGTTTGTTTTGCTCATGCAAACCCGCTGAAAACGATGGATTTACTCATGCGAGATGCATGCTGCTGGTACACACATCCCTGTGCTGATGCTCGGGCATTGCCCAAGATGGGAACTGCTCTTCTCCTGCCAGCACAGCCCTGGTGGCAGTGCTCCATCACCCAAACCTGCCTTGCTCAAGGGCACTGGGTGCACTCCTCTAGTTTCAGACCCAAACCAAGCTGCTCCAGCAGCTGAGGCGGATCCCACCTCAGCCTCTGTGCAAATCTGTGCTATGGTGAACCTTCCACTAGATGTCGAGGGCAAAATTCCCGCTGGGCGCAGGGCTGGGAGCAGCGTGCAGCCCAGTGAGCACGGTCCCCATCCCTGCTTGCCTGGTTGCCTGTGCCAGGGAGGGGGAATAGGCTTGAACTGGAGGCGAACAAAAGCAAATGAGGAGTGTATTGGTACAAGGGTCATTTCAGAGACTCAGATTGGGGTGTGAGAGGAGTGGGTTTTAATTGTCAGCATTGCCCAGCACACGGATTGCCCCTCCAATGGTGCTTGTGCACCTCTTACTGACCTGAGGCTCGAGTCCAGCGGCTCCCAAAACACAGGTCATTCCTCATCCCAGGTGAGGACTCAGCAGTAATGAATAAATACACAACTCTGAGCAACATGTGATGCTAAACTATGTGATTTGGGGTCACAACCCACAAAAGTGCTTGGGAGCCTCTGCCTTCGATGAGACACCTCCAAGCTGGAGGCTTCTGCTGGCAACAGTTTACAAAGCCCTGGCTGCTGGGGACAAAACTGATTTAAAGGAACATCAAAACCCAATACTGAAAACCTAAGTTACTGCATTGCTAAAGCACATAAATCAGGCTCTTGTGCTCGCTGGTACAGACCAATAATCCACCTACAGAAACGGCGAGTCTGCACAAAAGTCACCTTCCCACTGGGAGGGGTCTGGGACAAAACCAGTGTCGGGAAAGAGCCGCAGCAGGGATGCTGCCATGACCCTGGACCACCCTGAACCCAAACAAAACCAAACCCTCTCCCAGGACTCACACCACCAGCTGGAACGTGGAACCAGCATCACCGTTGAACTTCACTCTACTGTGCTACCAGCTATTCTGTGTGTTTGCTTATCCTGTCTTCCCAGTGCCACAGCCCAGTTCCTGCACTGGAATCAACAGCCATGAGCCAAAGGGTGCAAACAGAGAGCAGAGGGTTTGTCAACCTGGAAAAAACTGTTTAATGCATGTGACTAATGTGACTCTTCCCCAGCCCTTTGCCCCAGATGCAAACATCTGCCCTGTACCCTACGTAAGCTCCTTCGGGGCTGACTCGGAGAAGGTTGCTGTTTCAGGATGAGCAGTATTTTAGGGCTCGAGTGATATACCAACCTAGTACACACAAAACAACCCAAAGATTCAGCCAAAGAGGAGGAAAACACGGGTACTCACTCTCTCCCCAGGGTCACCCATTAAGCCCACAGGTCCAGTTGGTCCTGGAGGTCCTGGAAGGCCCTAGCATAGAAAAGACAGAAAAAACAAAAAGCCACTAAAGGAAAATGTGTTATTATTTGTAACATATTTGTACAATGAAGAGGAAAAGAATTAGAGCTTTCTGTTTATTTTTGCACCATAAAACCGACCCCGAAGCGCTCTGTACACATGCACGGCATATGGAAGCAATAGAGCCCAGGAACAGCTGTGTGCTGAGCCCTCCGCGTGCGCCCAGCATCCTGGAGCTGCGCGCATCCTTTGGTGCAAGGTGCAGACAAAGTGCTACTTACCGCTGGGCCTTCGGGACCAGGCGGGCCTTCCACCAGCATCCCCTAAGCAAGAGAAAGAGAGAAAAGTGATGAGCAAGGCACATCCTCAAAGTCACTTTGACTACAGGGCTGGAAAGCCCAGTGTTTTATCTGTTCTTCAATATTTCAGGTCTTGCAGCTCGGTCTCAGCATCCCACAGCTGAAGGGTTTCTACTCTCTGGATGACATCTCCTGTGTCCCCACTGCCAGAGGCACAAAAGGTGTTGCCCATTGAAAAGCCAAATATTCTCTATTTGAATCACTTCGCATGGCAAAACAGCCCTTTCTCCCCACACCAAACCCAACCTCACCCCAACACAGGGTCTTTGTCCTAAGCACAACCCTTCCCCCTTGGCTCGTGGCCAGGCGAAGGGCAAATCCTGGGGCATGGCAAGCCTTGGTGGTGCTGGAGGGGGAGAAGAGCTCCTCTCCAGGAAGAAGCTGTTTCTAGACCCAAGCAACTTTAAAAAAAAAGTTAATAATCAAATTGCAAGGGTTTTTTTTTTTTTTTTTTAAATTACTTTCCTAGCAGACTGCAGGCTGTGATTTACTCTGTGTACCTAGGAAATCACTGTGTGGGCAAAATGGTAGAATAATGTTATTCCCTTCCTTTTAATCTAAATATTTTGTCATAACTTTAAATCAGGTCTGTCGTACTCAGTAGAATGGAGCTGCTGCCTTTTTTTTCTTTTTTCCTTCCCCTCATGGGTATGTAAGAGGCAGGAAAGAAACCTCCCGATAAACCTGGGGAATGCTTTCCAGAAGGCAGCAGGATGATCTGTTGGGAAGAGCCCCACAGCGAGCTCTGCCCTTTTATCTCCGGACCAGTGGCCGTGCCCCCAGCAGCACCCAGCTCGAGCCAAACCAGTCCCAGCACTTGCCAGCTCATCAGTAGCAAACAGGGACTTTTCTCCCATGGGACAAAATCAGCCTGGAAAAAAAGCAGTTGGCTCATATGGGAGAAGCCCAGAGGGAGCAAGTGCTGGGACTGGGCTGGGGTCACCCTTGGCCGGTCTCCTGGGCTCAGGCTCTGGTGCTAGAAGCCTTGGCTGACCCCACGGCAGCCGCTACAGCAAACAGGGTTGAGCTGAACCAATCTGAGGTGTCTAGAGGAAAATCCAGGCTTTGATGCCCCAAAAGCCACAGTCTCTAAGCCCAGAGAAGCAAAAAAACAGAGTAAAACACGCTGCCGTGAACCCCCCCTGCTTCCCTCAGCGGGATGCATGGTTCTGCACTGCTAACGCATGGCCAGCACGATTTCCTGTCTTTCCCAGTGTCCATACTGCTCATTACCACCTCGTTAAAACCTGGTTTCCGCTTTCTTTGGATGCGTTAAGGGAAATTTTCTGCCGCTGTCATCACAGAAGCGCCTGTGCAGTCGTTCTTCACCAGTAAAGAATTTAGGTCACGGACTTCGCCCCGTGCCCGTTTCGACAGCAGTTTCCCTGTCTGCCGTGGAGACACTGCTCTCTTCTGGGTGGGAATTAGGGGTGAACCCCACACAACATGTCCCCCAGGACATCTGCCAAGCACTGGCTTCTCTTCAGACCCACGATGAGGAACCCCAGAGGTCCCAGCAAACCTTTCCCCCTATGGACACCCCAAGGTCCATCCCTGTTGAGACCAACGATGGCATGTTTTGGTGTGGCAAGCTCCAGAATAGAAATTAATAATTGTCTCCGGGCTGGTTCAGAGAGCCATGGCCCATGTGGGTCTTCCCAAGACATTTTTGGGTTGTTGGGTTCCAGCATAGCCATGGTCTGAGCATGCACAGCACCAAAGCTCTGCTTCCCATGGCTGGCTGCAGAGCCTCGGGATGCTCCCCCGCATGGGGAAAAAAAAATTAGCCAATTTGCAGTGCAAACATCCTTGGCATCTGCCCATATTTATCTGCTGGTTTATGTTGAGCTCCAGCTTTAGGGACATCTGGAGATTCTCCTCGGCAAAAAACCTCCACTGTTTATATGACTGCTCATCAACAGCAGCAACGGAAACATGGGAAGGTTTTGGGACTGGGACCCACGGGGAGATGCCACCGAGGGCCATCACCTTGGGGGGAGCAAGCAAACCATGGATTTGGGACTGTCCCAGGGGAAAAGAGGATGTTGCTTCCACTCAATCAACACCCACAAGCAAAGCTGATATCACTGAAACAGCCCCAAAACTGTCTGCAACACACCAAGGTGCCACGCAAAGGTTGGGCAAACCCTCCCCGAAGGCAGGTGAGAACACCAGGATCCCCCAGGAAGGCTTTGGGGAGGCAAAGGCAGCCTGGAGCTGGGATGCAGGGGGTCCCAGGCATCCCCGGCGCATCCCTGCTCGCCCTGCGCTGCCCGGCTGCCTCCAGCGAGCGTCAAAGAGCGTCAGCACAGAGCAAGGATTGAGGTCCGGCGGATTGAAGGAAAAGGAGAGAAAATCCAGCAGAATCCAAATTCTGTGTTTGGTTTTTATTCCCCTTCTGCTGCA